TAAGTACAGCATGCAATTGGATAGCTATACAGAATCAAGGCAAAACTTACGGGGACACCTCTGTGCTGCCTTACCAGGATGGACTTCAGGCTTACTCACCCTAAGTGCCTGCATACCATGAGAATAAGCTACAACGTTTTGTCATGTAGATGGGACACACCTTGTCTCCAGGACCACACAAAAGGCATGGACAGGACTCGCCTGGTATAAAGAGAGGGCTAAAATTCATCTCAGTAGCTAAAGCCATACTGAAGCCAAGAATTTTGTGTTTGTCCCTCGCATCTGCTCAAAGCAGCTGCCCCAAGGCACACAGACACTCTGACAGCGGGCACAGTGGCTGGGGACAAGACCAAGAGCATAAATGTCAACAGAAGATATATTGGGGAAGAATCTCGCAAAGAAATGACTCTCTTGCACATCAGAGCAACTCTCAGTGCATTATGCAGGATTACAGAATTCAGACCAAACACTTACTGCAATCCTTATCAAGCTCTAAAGGTATGTGCAGAGTTTCATTAAATAAGAAACCCACACATACCACATGCTCCAACAGCAAACTGCTCCTAGGATCAATATTTTGGATTGAAAAATACTGAGAAAACAACCCTGAGGATGCCGCAAAGGAACAAAATGCCAGTGACTGTCGAACTATATCCAGCTGTGTCCCATCACCTGTTATGCCTTCTTGACAATGTTCCTTGAGTAACAGATGACATAAGGAGAACATGAGCATTGCTACTTACACAGAACCAATCCAGGAACTGCTCAGTTACAGTTTGAGCCAGTTTTCACTCAAGTCAATATAAGCCAAGCCACTGATTTGGCAAGTGTTTGATCAGCTGCTGCTTCCTTCCTTGGAAAAAAACCCTCAGACCACACCATTCAGTATTTGTTTTAAGAGAAAACCACTGTATATTCACTGCCATTAAAGAAGAAGGAAAAAAGCATTCATTTATTTGTAAATTCTAGTGCTTAGATTCATCACGTCACTAGCACCATGATGCAGAGACCGCTGAACAGTGCCTGATGTAGCAGGCCACAATGTATGTTTATATATTACCTTCCAAGCCTTCAATTACTAACCAGACGAGGGAACCTAAATACTGTAGGCCAAGATCCTCTCTGGCGAGTAATGCAGTTCTACCGAAGTCAATGGAGCTTTGGTGTATTCAGACAGCAAAATATTTGTTGATACAGTATCTTTCAGAGTTAATAACGCTGTGTTCAATTCCCTACAGAGCTGGCTGAGAAACATCAGAATTTCTCTCAAGACCATAGAAGGAAAGTTGGCAGGAACTAGATTGATTTTTTTTTTTTTTGGAGACTTGCTACAAATTTGCATATTAAAAACTCCTTAAAAATAGATGGGATGGTTACAGTTTGTCACTGTTACACTTCAAAACATGACAAATTCTCAAACAGCTTGAGTCTTTAATAGAAGTTATTAAAAAAGCTGAAAAATACTCTTTTGATGTCAAGAGAGTTTTGAATCAGCATCATACTCTGAAACCAGAACTAGGCAACAGCTGAAGACTGGTATCCGGAGGGAAGCAGTCAATACCAGAAAAATTGAGACACTACATTTCAGGTACTCTTAAGTGCAAGTTTTGAAAGAGGTATTTTTTCCACAGTAGCTTGTGTGTGGGATTAGCCTGATGAAGGACAACTTCTCGCCAGAAGCAAGTGATTTTTTTCACTGTATAAAAAAATACATGCAGTGGTTTGTGACTGGTTTGACCAGAATATCACTTAGCTTTTCAGAATCTACAGTAGAATGAACTAAGGAGCAGATCAAGATACAGTACCTTGGATTATGTTTGCATCCCCGAGGGTTGAGAAGCAGAGTTTTGACACAAAAATGTTTACTAGATTTAAGTATTGCTAGAATGAGATGATACTACATTTCTGTGTTTGAAGTTATTTACCCAGGGAAGCGAAGCCATTGTTCCACCAACAGTACCACTGACACAGAGGCAGACTGTACTTCCCTAGCTAGCCTGTGAGCACAAAGGGAAGCCCACAGTGAAGAAATAAATTTATCAGAGAATAGACACTGAAACTGGTGCCTCCCTATCTCCCACATCTCCTCTGTCTGTTCTGCCAATGTGTCTGTCTGACACTTGATCAAAATATGCACTCTCTGCAACACTGGTATCAGGTAACTCATCTCCCTGCCCCAGGGACCCATCAAGTGATCCCTTATTACCAAATTACCTGTGTGTCATAAAACGTAATGACTTCTTTTCTGGGGTAGAAGAGTTCTCCAAGGCTTGGATTGCAAGACAAGTTGGTCTATTATCTGTAGTTACTCAATCTAAAAATACAGTTGCTGATTAGTAATTTTGGGGGTGGATATCTTGGAGGAAAAAGTATCTGTCAGTGAAATGCCTCTCCCACCTCCAGCTCACATTATTTGTCAAACATAGCAAGTGTCTGGATATGTATTTGAACAATAACATTAAGAAGTACCATGCTGAGGGGCCACAGGAGCAGAACTCCTTTACGCAATAAACAAAGCTACAAACACCACCAACATGGTGGTAAGACAACTCTTCAAATGCAAACACTGGAGCATGGAACAGCTTCTAAATGCTAAAGCAGCTGCGTACAGAGCTAAACAAGATGACCTGCAAGTCTTTAGAAAATCCACAGCTGGACACCCCTGGCTAGAGAGCCACTTTCGGGATTTCAGCCAGATTTAGTGACTATTTGTCACTATTGGTGACTATTCACCTCTTACATATAGTTACCTGCACAAAAACTTGGCTGTCTCTATGATTATGTCTTCTGATCCCATCCACAGGCTCTGCAGTCTCAGTGAAGTCAGACTCTCTGCTTCCCATGTGCTCAGCATATTTTTCAGTGAAATAGCTCTCAACATTTGCCGATGATCGACCCTGACAGGAATGGGTTTTAGATTATGAAAATTCCGAAGCCGAGTCCAGTTTACCTCAAAATATTTAGGGGAAAACATTCAGTCACCAATGTGACCTGCAACAGCTTCACTCTTACTTAAATCCACTGCATGACAGCAGGACAGAAGAGTAACTTACCAAACAAGAGTTAGCTCCAGTAGCAGGGCTGCTGGCATACCCAGCCCTTCTTGTCATCACAGCAGGTTAGCAACAGCCACCTGACACTTTGAAACAGTTCTCTACAGCCTATAAAAAGAGCAAAGTCCTTGGCACTACCCACAAACAGCACCACGCAGAGGGAAATGCCATTACTAAAGTGCAGGCGAAGAGTCCTGTAGGCAGAGATGTACGTAGTACCAAGCTGGCTTAACTGTTCCAGAAGCAGCAGCGGGTGGGAAAGGCGTGTGTGGGGTGTCCATGGTGTTCCACCTACTTCTCCACAAACAGAAGTTTTTGCAATTTAGCACAGAACATTTTACACCATACTCAGGTGGCACAGGAGTAGTCTTTAAATCCTTTCCTCCGGACTACCCTAGAGCCTCAGGAAACCAGTCCCGAGACATTGCTGTTTGAACAAGACTGTACCGTTTCTCCCAAAGCATTAAGTCCTGCAGACATCTTTGTGCGTTGGGATGTCATGTCCCACAGTTACTCCTCTGGTCCCTTTCCAGTTACTTTATACCTGCCTAATGCAGATACATAGAAACAAACTGGTTTTATTTTCTTGCCTTCAAGAAAGCCTGATTTCAGTACTTCCCCGCCCTTCCCATCACTCCAGTAACACATCATCGAAGGCAGGAGCACAGAGATAGCAGAAAAATATATATATATTTACATCCATAACTGAATACATGTTTTATGTATTCAAATTCAGGAAAAATGCATCACATATACACACACCAAGATACATCAAGAGAATACTAGGGGCAAGACTGCCAACAGCAAGAAATACACAGAAAAGCACAGTCATTGCTACTGTAACATTCTTCTGGGGAGTGTATTCAACAGAGGAAACATCTCTATGCGTTGGGGAAAGCCAGATACTTGGGCCTATTTTTTTGTGCCAGTTGGTATGAATCAAAAGTGTGAAATTTTTTACTTTAGAAAAGTGCATGGAATAACTTTTTTTCTTTGAGCATACAACTATCCAAACAATTCCATAAACGCCTTATATAAGCTATATTATTAAAAAGGTCCCACCCCTACAGTACACAAATCCAGCTCAGGAGAACACAGGCACATGTTGAAGTCCATCCCTACTTAAGGCAGCGTTTAAGCATACACTCAACTTTAAAGCTCACGTTCTGTCCCACTGACTTCCATGAGCAGTCACAGTACACATTTAAAGTTAAGCACCTGCACAACTGCTCATCTAAATCAGGATGTGCTCCCTATTCAGAGATTTTGATATGCGTGTGCGTGCTCAGTCTGGATTGGCAACTTCTGCAAGACCAAGCTCTTTTTCTTTTTACTGCCCTATAGATAAAAGTCACTCCACATCGGACTTCTCTCCACCACTGTGTTAGGACCCAGCTGGTCCTCTCCACAGCTTGCCCACAAAATGTCGATCTCAAAGGAGTGCAGTATATCTGGGGTGAGAAAGCAACTCGGCATGTCATTTCAAGGGCTGTTCCTCCTCCCCCTGAAGTGAGCTATTTCATGCAATTTTTCTTTTTTTTTTTTTGTTTGTTTGTTCCATTTGGTTTGTTTTTTTCTCTAAGAACTGGAATGTATTCCTTCAGTGAAATCTTTAAAATTAAGGGTGTGGGGAAGGGGCAGGATCCCAGAATTCATCTTAATGGCCCATGATAAACCCCTGAAAATAGGGGAACAGATTCAAAGAGCTTCTTAGCCTCAATGCCCCAGGGACCCTGGCATAAAAAAACCACACATGCGCACACACACTAAAGAGCAGGCTGGCTCAGAGCATCCCAAAGCAGGCTCCAAAGTGATCTTACATAAAAAGCACTTTGTGCTGACAGTGGCAAACAAGTGGATGGTGATTTTTCACAAATAGCAACAATTCTGCATTATCTTCCTCTTCTTCCCTTTTACTTTGTGTCTTTCCCTTTCCCCAAAGTTTGTTTTTTTTATCCTGTGTGTGGTTTAAGTACTAAAACTAAATCAAATAGGAAATTACACAGTCAGCACCAGTCAGGAACTGAACCTGGGTATGTTAATTGGTTCGTGGTACCCAAATTCCTGGAAGAACGGAAGCACAATTCTTGCTCCTAAAGTTAGGGCCACATCCATATGTTTCCATTGTCTTTTTCACCTTTACAACTAGAGGTAGAGTCATTTTGTCCAGTATCTAAAACAGCATGATCCAGTTATATTGTTATTACATTAATATACAGTGTCCATCTTATCACAGGCATTGAAAGTGCGTGGAAAAAGTCTAACCAAGCCAATTCAATGACAAGTAACAGTGTACCAAACATCATATAAACACACCCGCGCACCCACACTCACACGTAGTGTATATATATATTTATAGATTAATTTACAGTATCAGAGTGTTGTTTAGATCCAGTAGCATGTGCAGAAGTATCAGGCAGTTGCTGCTTTTTCTTCTCATATTCTCTTCAATTCTTTATTTCCAAGATAGACGGGTTGTGGTCTAGGATTGCCAAAATGATCTTGTCCATATACTGTCGCAATCTGTAATTTATCTCTTCCTGTTCTTTAAGGGCTTCCATGAGCTGAAACACAACATTTCAAAGTTACTGTTGAAGTATTCTCACTAGTTTATGTAACAGCATGAAATTCAGACAGGTGAGAGACTACCGCCTGCTCAGGATCACCAATTCCCTTTTGCGATAGGTAATCTACCTCTAGCTCCTCCCTGTATCCCTATTAGAAACAATCTGTATATTAAAGATCATTATTCTTAAAAGGAAGGTGGTGAACTGTCATGACCAGGAATCTTTTGGCAGGTCATTTGAAACAAATTCCCCATCTAACATATCAACCCATCCTGCATCCACACCACGGATGAGCTTCCTCATGTCAGTGCCAGAGCTTCATGATACTCAATTTTTTTCCTATCTACCAAAATCTAAAGCACTTTGCATGAAAGGCTGCTTAGCAGAACAAGGATTTCAGTGTTTTGCACTGGGAACAATATGGGCTGCCTCTATCATGTGCACTGTCTCAAAAAAACCTACCAAAAAACCCCAAAACAACACAGCTACATACCCTCAAGAACAAGCCACTGAATATTCTATGTTCTATATTAAAGATGTGTTTCACTAGATCTTTGAGCTGCAAAAAGCCCCTCAAACTCTCCAGAGATGAAGACTGCTTGCTTTTCATACTCTGCATGTTTAATATCAAACTGACAAAGCTGCCCAGGAGTGTCAGAACCCCAGATCCTCCTAAAGCTAGTGTGATTTGGGTGTCCATTTCTATTAGCCTTCAAAAAGTCCCACCCTGAATCTGCAGTTTCTTACCTTCATTTTGATTATACAGAAAAATTGCACAACACAGATCTGTGAAGTTTACTAAGCCTGGGCCACAGTTGTAAGGGACTTTCCTCCTTTAGAGGGGGAGTGCTGGGTATTCCTTGAGTAAGCCAGAGTCATGAGATTCAGAAGGAGAAATAAAGATTTGTCTTGACAATAGCAGAAGCCCAATTTGCTTTTACCTAAATAGAGTTCAATAGTTAAACAGCCTTTCTTCACAGTGCTCTGGTTCAGCAAGAAACTCAAGTATGCACTTCACTTCAAGGGACTGCCCGGGAGCTAAGGCTAACAAGGTCATTCAGGTACAAACTGGGTAAAACAGCCTGTCTCAGGACTCTCCTCTTGAAGAGGAAATAGGAAGTTCTGTCCAGAAGAAATAAGGCATAAAAAGCAAACAATTACTTTTAACCTCCTTCATCACTAACCTGTCTTTTTCCCTGGGAGCTCTTATATATCCATTGGCCCGATCTCATGATCTGTCCTGCAGCTTAAAGGAAGCTGTACCAGCTTGACTCAGCCCACGTACAAATGGGTCTCCTACAACACCTTCCAAAGCATTACCAGATTATTACTTGCACACTACCTACTTTCTCCAAGAACTCAGCGCTGCTACAGGGAATATATAGCTCAAATTTAGATCTGAAGTAACTTAGAACTAAATCTAGAACAGAAAGTAAAAGTCTAAGAAACTAGCTATGGTAATTTCTGTATGAAATTAATGCCACAATACCCTGTAAGATAGAAGATGTTAAATCCATTGTAAAACAGTTCACTGAGAGTCTAATAATTCCAATTTTTTTTGAGAGAGATAAATGGAAGAGTTACGTTAAAAGAGGCATCCAAAAACACTGTTAGATATAAGGCAATCTTCTAACACTCTTGAACTCCTAGCAAAGCAGATTCTTCTGTTCTTCATTTGTCAGCTTTGGATAGTTCAACCTTGACAGTTAATTACATTGAAGAACATGTATTTTTGGATGTAGAACTTGACTAAAAAAGCATATTACCTCATCTCTTGATGCAGAATCAATTTCAGCAGCCAGTGACTGGGCTTTTGTTTGTGTTGCAAAGAGATTTTTAGCTTCATAAAGACTAAGACTTAGGATCTGTCCATTAAGATCATCGTTTTGGTCACGAAGTTTCTGATTCTCCTATTCAAGGATGAAAAGACATTGCATTTAAGTTCTGCCTGCAAGGTTTCATTAAAAAAATAAATAAATTTTTAAAATCACAGGTAGCCTGAATGACATTCGGTAAGGCCGCAAGCTAACAGCAACTCTCTCATCACCAGTGACAAGTCCTCCCTGCCTGAATCACAGGTGTTTCCTAGGTGCACAAACTACATCACCTGTGCAAAAAGTCCTAGACAGATGCAACGGGGGTCTTGTGCTTATGAGGGAAGGGGGGGGGACAAAATCTAAAGGCAGTGTGCTAGGGGTTGCAGCTATAGACCTTTTTCAAAGCTGTCCTGCACATTTCACATGGATCAAGAGGCCCCTCCCTGCTCACCTGCTTCAGCCGTTTTATTTCATGCTCCATTTCCACCTCTCTGGTTTTGGCGTTGAATTCACTCACGCTGGATGAAGAGCTTCTGCCACGTCCAGGACGCTCACATTCCAACTTGTACAGCTGCAAGTGCTCCAGTTCCTTCCGCAAGTCTTCAATAAGCTGTGGGCATGCAAGCAGGCCATGTCTCTCCAGCCTCTGCACAACCAGCCCTCCCTGGCAGCAGCCTTCTCTGTGCTGCAGCTCTGTACTCTGACACAGGCACCATGTGAGCCTGACTGAGGCTGGACATTCCTTGCTTTTCTATGGAATATAACCACCTGCTCTTCCATAGCAGCACAGTTCACTTCAGAGATGGAAGTGGCTCTGATCTAAGCTGCATGTCTGAGAGGCATAATTCCCCTTGCAAACTTAGTAAAGGAAACGTTAAGGCACACACTCAAGGCTGCAAGTTCTCAAAGAGCTGTAAACCCTTTGGGTCAGGGATTGTCATTTATTAGGTATTCTTGCAGCATTCATCGCCCTATGGGTACTGCTCCCATAGAAACATAATCCAGTCGTACATTCACTGCATGGTGTATTTTCAGTGTTCACCTTGTCTGTCTATTCTTTTTCAGATGGACTTCCATGCAGATGAGACGCAATTGCATGGTCTTACATCCCTCTTCACACCTACCTCCTGCGTGGCTTCCCTCTCCTTGTTAAATTCCAGTCTGTTCTGCCGCAGCTTGTCCATCATTCTCTTGTACAAATCCATCTCGTCCTTCAGTCGCAGACTAGTGTCTTCCAACCTATCTGACATGCGTTGCCTTTCCTAGAATAAATGGGGAACTTCACAGCTAGCTTGCAAGTGCATGAGCCATCTTCAGTTTTTCAACACAAATCTACAGACACAGCTGGTCATAAGCTGGAATGTGTCTCAGGGCATTCACTAACGGTGACCAATGTTCCAATTCCATCAATGGTTTTGTTTAGGAAAGGCAAGTTAAATAAGCTGGGTCAATTACTATATGAGTTTGCTCTTACACAAATCAAGCTGCTGTTAAATTGCTCAAGCCCTCAGGAGTTTTATTACCTCATCTAGTCTCTCTGTTTGTGATTTCAGTCGTGTGACAGTGCTTTTCAGCTCACCATTTTCTTCTTCCAGTTGCTGAACCCTGTGTCAATAACAAAAATCATTACAGCAAACGCCTCTTCAAGAACGCAGACATGCAAAATGGCATGCTCTAAAAAGCCATTTCATTTGCACTTGACAGAAAGACCAAACAAGAAAATATTTCTAATCTTAACATTTTTTTAACATGAGCCATTTGGTGCCTTTTGTTTGTTTTTAGGGCCAAAAATGCTACACTGACCCTTAGATTCTTATGCTCCTAACAACAGGTATCTAAAAAGAATTAAGTAGGAAGAAACAAATGCAGACACAAGTGTTTGCTACAGCTGGTCACAATTCCCTCTTTGAATTCATGCCAAACATTCAGTTAAGCTGTCTACATGGGCCATGTGGATTAAAGCATTAATGTAAAGCATCCTCCAAGCTTTTGGGCATTAGACATGCAACTGGACAACTACTCGATAGAACTACTAACCTGTAACCATCTGTGCACTGTCTGGTTGTGGACAGCCTAAATTTACATGCAAAGTAAAAATGAAGAAAAGAAGAACTTGTACTCTGTTCCGTGTGGCACCAAGACGTTCATTACCTTGTATTGAGCAGTTCAATTTCGGTGCCTTTCTCTTTTTCGTACTTGGTATATGCTTCTCTATGTCTCTTTATTTCTTCTTCCAGAGTCTGTTCTGCTGATGTCTCTTGGTCTTTCAATAGCTCTTCTAGCTCATGAACTCTAAGGAAACCAGATCTCATTTCAGTAACTGCTTCACAAGTACTTAAAAAAAGAGTGTGCAACTTCATTGTCTCTCTCTCTTCCCTCCCCACTCCTTTATTTCATTCTACTTCACCATCTCTCTTGGCACTCAACCTCTCCCAATCTCTCTCTTGGTATTTAATCTTTCAAATAGCATAAAATTAAGTAGTATCAGTTCATCTATTATTCTTTCATTCTCAGTCTGAAGAAGTTGGGACTCTGATCCAGCCTTTTGCTCTTGCTACATGCAAGAAAAAATCCAGTGGTAACCGCTCATGACAGAAGAGCTTGCTCTGTACAAGTCAGTACCATCTCTGTACTAAGAAATTTGCTTGCAAGGCCTATGCTTGCTGAAAATTCAGCAAGGCAGCCTTATTCCACTTGGACTTCTCAGATGAAGCCTTATCTTATTTTGTACGCCAGCATTAAGGCAGAAGACTTGGTCACGTTTTACAGGTAGAGCTGTTCCTTCCCTAGAACTCTGTCCTAGCTCTGCTCTGACATGATAAAGAGAACTGGTTCCGTGCTTTATTACCTGTGAACTAGCTGTGTGTTCTCTTGTTTCAGTTTGCTCTTCAGGTCACCATTTGTCAGGCTATCATTCTCCAGTTCTGTCACCTTTTTTTCTAGGTACGTTACCTGAAGTGGAAAAGAATTGAGAGTTTGAATCTCTCATCATACACCCCCCTACTATTCGCAATTAACATTTAGCTATACTACCCTTTTTAAAGGGGGCATGCTTCCCCACAAAGCCAGCAGTGAAATTAAGCTCTGAAATTCTGAGTTCCCCAGATCCTGCATCTTCCTTGAGGGTGATCAATGCAAATACACAGTAAAAGAAGTACTAATACGATGCCTAGATGTGTACTTGCACGGTTCTTGCATTTTTGTGAAGCAAGTCATAATATTAATGGAGTATCAAGGACATTTTGAATGAGCTACTTCAGATCACTGGCAACTGTGAGCAAGAGAGCTTTGTCAATTGATGCATGTCCCCAGCAGGATTTTTGTTGGGTACATTAATCACAATGCACACAGCTTCTCACCTTTTCAGTTATATCATTATCACAGGAGTCTATACTGTCTCTGAACAGGTCTTCTGTGCTGCCATTACTGCTGCTGAAGTTACTGTTGTGGAAAAGTTGTCTGAAAGATCAGAAGGATAATTATTTTGCCTGATGAGGATGGAGGAGAAAGACGCTGGGTACTGTCTTATAGCCTGGCTTTTCACTTTGAGCATCCAATGCTAAAATCTGTGCAATCATTTCAGTGACAATTACAAGTGTCTTACAAGAGACTGGCAGCTAGATGAAGTCATACTGAGCACAATCAATGACATTAGTTCTAGGGTGTCGATTTTGATAGGGTTTGCCACCAGCATTAACATAGTTTAAAAACTGCTTAGCCTTATTCACATCACGTACTGAGTTGTATTTGCCTTAATAGAGATTTAAAATAAGGTCACCACTGCACACTGGTTGGTACAGTTAATCTAGAAAGTTTCATACACTAAGAGCTTCTTTAAAAAATAGAAAAGAAAAAAAAAAAGAAATCTCAAGCAGTTTCCACTACAGAATAGTGTCAGGATACATAACACTGGAGATTATCGAAAATATTCTTGAAACTTACAGCCCTCCCCAGCCCAGGGCTGGTTCATTCAGTCAAAGGAAGATCACAATTCTGTATGTCCTTTTTAAAAAGGGATGCTCTTGCTTTCCTTTGCATTTTGGCAACAACAAAAAGGCCCACATTATGACAATGAAAGAAGCAATAGCTGATGAAATAGTAGTATAAAGGAGGAAAGCTGGCAGACAAGGAAGCAACTATCTGTGTTCTTAACAGAGCTCTTTCCAGTTCAGGGGCCTGCTCCAAGACTAGCAGTGGCTTCTACGTTCTGTAACATCCCTATCCAAATATAGGCCCATTCCCTTGAAAACCTGTCTTGGCACATTTTTGTTTTCCTAAACTTATTGCTCCTCTCTCCTCCCACTTATGGAATTGTTACAGCTGATTCCATATGTATTCATAAAAAAGTTGAAGACACTTACCTTCCAAAAGCTGTGCTTGATATTTTCCTGTTAGGGCTACATGGATACAGAAGGAATGATATAGGAATTAAACACTTATTTGATCAGTGTTGAATTCAATCTTAAACTCCAGCTGAATTGCACAATGAAGCATAATATTGACTCTTTTTGTGAGGTAAAAAAAATAATTATGTGAACAATATTCTTAGACAACCTAATCAAAAGCTGCAGTTACCAACAATGTGAAGATGAGTGGAGCCACAAATTACTGTGATCATTACTAAGTCAATTTGCAAATACTGTTATATTTAGCAGAGATTTGTCAGTGTAAATCAGAGCGACACTAACATTAGAAAGACCACAAAGGGACACTGAGTTAGTGATGGACATTTATTCTGGATTCCCAGTTTTTAGATGATTTTATAAACAGTTAGTTTATCCTTCCCCACAATGCTAACCAGTTCAGCACAGGAACTGAGATACTTTCCATTTTTACAGGTCCCTTTTTGCAGCCAGAGACTAGTATTATCTAAATGAAGGACCAGACTCCAGGCAACAGCACTAGAAACAAATCAAAATATCCAGCTACATGTCTTGATAAGGGAATGTTGTATCTCTGCACACAGACACACAGCTCTGCCACAGCATCGCTCTCTTTCAGCCAGGTTTATACAGCCCCACTCATAAAATTACCAAAGCCCTAGCCAGTCATGGTCTGGGTGTTAGCAGACTCCTTGCTAAGGCAGGAACGTTGTTCATATCAAGTATTACGCTGCTGTGTCACCAAGAGAAGCAGCAGTGCAGTATGCTCTGTGCCAAGGATTACACAGACAGGCAGGATTTACATTCAGTTTCTAGGGGGAGCTAGAAGCCCACCAAATAATTTCCTTCAAAAACACTATCTGATTGTTGGAAGCACTGGATTCTTTCCAAATGCTCAGTACAGTTTAGAAGTGGATGGAGAAGCAGAGAGAGAAATCTAAAGAAAAAGCTGAAATTGGAAAGAACCCCAAAAAGACACTTCTGGCATACGATTTATCATTTTTCCAAGTTCCCTTTAGGACAAAAAGAAATCCCACAGGAATGAAGTACCTCTGCTGACCTACAGCTTTAGGAGAGGTGTATGTAAGGTTATATGCATTAGCTAAGGATCTGCTAGATCACTCCTTCCCACCTGGATAAAACAGTAGCTAACTGTAGATCTGCACTAAGCAGCACAGCAGATTCCACTTCCTCAAAGAAAACTCCTGGAAATATCACTCTCTGTAATCAAAGAGCTTGCTGCTTAAAATATTTGAGTTTATTAATGCTGTCTGCACCTTAAGTCAGAAAAATACTTATTACCTAATGAAGAACAGCATTTAGGTTCAGGCTAGATGTCAAGGTCTGAATTTCTTACCGTTTTGTAAGAACAACACATATGTAAGAGAGTGGGATACAGGGAAGGAGAGGGGTCTTTCTCCCTCTCCTCCTGCTGTTAGCTAGTCCCATTTCAAGGGGGCATTGCTAAAAGCAGTGCAATAGGCTGCTTACCTGTTTGCTTTCAAGTTTTTCAGCCTGGCTTCCAAATCGTTGAGTAGATTTATCTTTTTGCAGCATTGTGAGCAGTAAACATCCAGTAACTCGCTGTTATAAACATGCCTCATTTTTCGGGGTGTTTGACCAGCACTGTTTGCAGGAAAGGAGAGATGTTACTGGCTATAGTAACCAACTCACGACAGGTTTTCCTCTTGACTGTGTGTCAGAATCACAGATGAGGGACTTGGGGAACCACCTCCAACTACAGCTCATCTAACTTAGAGGTGATGATGGAGAATGCTAGTCTTAGGGCAAGTCTACCTCTCTGAGCTGAGGCTTTACAGAGGAAGTGTTCTAGGTGTCAGCAGAAAGAATCAGCTTGGGTGACTGGAAGAATAGCACAAGGTATACAGAGTCCATGCGATGCATGTAGCAAAACCAGCTACATTAGTATGTTGCACCTCAGCAAAGTCATCCTCTCATCTTGCCCATCTTCCCACTACAGTCTGGCATGCAACCTGTAGAGTCTTTTCTCCAAGAGAAAAGACAGGAAGATGAAAAATAGGGCCGTCTGGTAAGAAGTTACACAAACCTCTTCAGATGGTAGGACAGAAGGAACCCTAGAATGAGGAAGGGAGAAGTGGACATAGGTCTGAAGAGGAGATAACAGTAGCTTTTGGCATGATAAAGAGAAAATAAACTCAAATAAAAGAGAGCAGTCATGGCATGAAGTGCACAGAGCCCCAGGAATGGGAATGGAAAACCGCTGCATAAACCTGAGGAAAGAGGGTATGAAGGACACAAGCCATCATCATGAAGGGGCAGTGGAGAGGGGTGCTGGCTCTGCATGCTTGACAGAGGTGGAAGGCTGAATTGCAGAAGTGCTTGAAACAGAGGGTAGCACACTGGGTTGCATGCAGAACAGAGGGATGCAGCGAGCTTGTCCTGTGTCAGCAATGAAGCACAAGACCTTCATGTGCTATTGATCCAAGCAGACAAATCCTAGAGCATCTTCATGCTCGGCTCTTCCCCAACCCTGCTCACCTATTCCCTTGCTTAGGGAAGGATTTTAAAATCAGCAATTGCTTTGGTCTGAGGATGTGAGAGCTAGAGAGACAGAGGTCACATCCAGGAAACTGGTGGACTGTAGTGGCATTTCCAGCTCCTAACAGACAGCAGCTACTTGCTTATGTTCTCCGAGACATTCAAAGTCAATAGGAGTGCAAAGAAACAGCTGTCTGCATACAGCATTTCACCTTACAGGTTAGTGCTAAGGATTTGTAGTATCAGAATACTAAAGAGAAACAGCTCTCTTGCAGGTCTTCACTGCATCAGGGCTGGTGCATAGTGCTAAGCTGGTTTCTAGCTTGCAGCAGATAACTTCCAATACTGGCTCCTAACTGTAAAATCTACTACCTGCAATAGATAGTAATCTCTACAAGCAAAACAGCCCAGTTGTTTCTGATAACCCCTGTTGGGTTCTGTTGAAATAACATATTTGCTATAGCTCTTATTAAATGTAGTCTGTCAATCGGAGGGCAGAAAATGAACCGATAACATTTTGCTTTTAAGGTGAGTCTATGTAACCAGTGTAAACTCTGGTATGGTCACCCATGCCCAGAGAAGAACAAAATTGAGAAATTGTTTGTTAATGAATAAGGAGCAACCTGGAAGATACAGATGAGCCAAGGTCAGAGTAGGCGTTGGTTCTTGTCTCATCATCAGGGCATGGACTACTGGGAGTAAAATCCACATCATCTCCTTCCCCATAGTCTTCAAACTGTTCTTCATTACTGATCAGAGAGGCAGTGGAATAAGTTGAGAGGTCAGATGCTGCAGAAGGGTTGTGAGGACTTGACCTGAAACAAGAGGTCAAAACGTCTCGAAGGCCGACTTTGATAGCATCTCACCTCACACGGGATCTTCCCCTTTTACAGCTTGTCCCCTCGTTTGAAGTTGTAACCCACCTACTTTGTGCTAAAAAACTTGAAGTGCTAAACACATCTGATGTGCATTTGACATAGCGCCTTAAAAGACAAGAGCATGAGAATGTATGAACAAGCTACCTGTGAGACAGGTTTGGATCAACGCAAACCATTTCACTTTAAAAAGCACATCTCGACAATCCTCAGTCATCATTTCCACATGGTGAGGAAGACTGCTGCTTATGGGACTTCTGCTCTGAATGCAGGAACTGTGCAAATAACTCTGAAATGCATGGGATAGCAAGAGAAACATGTACAAGACAGAGGCTGTTGCTCCACTCCACAATCAGTTTCCCAGTAATCCCCATAAACCCTCTCCCACACCCCACAAGTCCCAGCCACTCTTTTCTGTGGTCAGAAACAAACTTCAGCTCACCGCATGCCAGGGAGTCACTAAAGCCACTGATGTGACCTAACAGAGGATGGGTTCCTCCCCCTCCTTCCATCGTGAAAAAATGTGTTTTTCAGAGGGGACATGGACCATAAGAAAAGGCTGCTTTACTACCAGAGAAGTACCTAAGAAAACACCAAATAGGTAGGGAATGGCAGGACCCTGTGACCTCAGAAAGAGAAGGTGTATAGGTAAACAGATCAGCAGGGCCAGGCACTATAGCAAAGTAGCTGGCAGAGCAGTTTTGAGCACATCACATCTAATACAATGGAGCAAGTTTGCTGCAGAGAGTGCACAGTGATTCTCCGGCCCAGAGTCCAGACTACCGTGCAGCCATACAGTGTTCTGTCTTGCAGAGGCAGATATTTGACACAGGTTTGCTCAGCTCCCACCTCAGTAAAGCATTCAAACAGACAAGCCAGTAAATTCACATACAAGTTCTTATAAACACACTTCTCCCTGCAGAAAACACACATCTAAGGCCTGAAACACACCCTCCTCCTCGTGAAAACCTGGAGTTACCCAACATATTACTGTTCCTACTACAAAGCAGAATCCAGTGCCTCTCTACAATACAGACAGGGCACTGATTCAATCTGCTGACACTTTGTGCAGATTGGGTTAAGTTTCTCACTCCCTTTGCTTCAGTGCACAGTGCTTGTATCTTCAACTCCACCAGCTGAGCCATGGGACAGTAGCTCCCAGTTGATGTTGTTCTCCAGCAGCTCAACAGTATTGCCTCCTAGGTTTCTTCTGAGTCTACCTTGAGCCTCTTAACCATGCCCTGCACTTTTGGAGACAGGGAGATTCCTCTTCCTGTAAGACTACACTTCTGAGCTGTAAACAAGAGATGCAGCAGTGCTCCTCTGGCGGATGGTGCTAGTGTTATTTGCATATCCCTTCCCTCCAAAAGCAATTAGTAGAAGAGGGAGCCTGCCAACGTTTCAGATGTATGCTCTTTTGTTTCTCCTGTTTTGATGAGATCCATTTATAACCCGCAATTCATTTATCTAATTCACATTAACAGAAATTAGGGCAAGTCAAGCCTGGCATGCTATTAAAGGATGAAGTTCATGATGATAGGAATACTCGTACTAGAAATAGATCAAACTTATCTAACAATGCTCCTTGGCTGGGAGATGGATTAGTGAGAAGCTCAACAGATCACACTAACATCTATTCGTAAAGAGCTGCTGTGCCACAGACATACTGTGTATTGATGACTGTTTTGGGTGACTACAATCTGTGTAACTGCAACTGCTGTTTTCATCTCAATGTTGTTACTCCAAGTCAGTTTAGGAAGAAGCTCCTCATAACACTTCCACCAGGGGTGGAGGTAAACGACCAGTCTTCAGCTGGGATGATAACATATAGTTGTCCATAAAATCCACTCTCCAGCATAATAGCCCTGGAACATCACCACTTACCAACAGATTGGAGTTCAGCAGCCTTATCCCTCATGCAATGCCTGGCAAAGTTCTCTTATGGCAGCCATGGAAACAGTCACCACTGCTGGACCCACCTGATAATGCCGCTTAGAACTTCTAATTTGTAGTTATTTGTAAGATTTGCCAAACTTTAAACTGCTTGGTTTGAAACAGTCAATGCTCAGGGTAGATCCTGAACTCGTAACCAGCCTCAGGCTGGAAACTGTCTAGGAATTGCACAGTCATTTTCAAAGGAGGTGCTAAAGGCAGCTGGTTTTCCCCATTTTCGCACTTTCTGAAGGAAGCTTTCAGGTCTTTTTTTTTTTTTTTTTTTAGCTGTTTTCTGTTTTTCAGAGTAGGACTTCAGAGGGCTGATACATCTGATACACAACCCACCTGCTTCTTCCACAAGCAGTTATTGTGGTTTGGCCAAGGTAAAAATGTCTATCATGCTTTTTAACACAAAAGCGTGAAGCTTCCAAAGTGGTTTCCTACAGATTTACCACAGCTGAGGAGGCCTCAGAGGATAAACCAAGATCTATGAGTAGTAGCAGCACAGTAGCTCTTAATTAGTTCCTGCCCCCACCTAGAATGAGGGTACAGGATGCACAAGAGCCTGAATAGCCCAGCTGGGAGGAAAGGTAACTCATGTCAAATGCTGTATGGGTAAAAGTCAGTCACTGCAAGGATGGGTGCTTTGAAGAACTGGGAATGGCAAGGCAAGCAGGCAAGTTTGATAAAGAGCTGATGAAAAAGTGGAATTATCTTGATAAAGTCTCTGGGATTGCTTGGGCAAATGGGAGAAGGCCAGATCTCAGGTAGCTGAGGAATTCAGGAGGAGGGTAGGAATGAGGCTGCACAGAGAGCACCTGAGGCGGCCCAGGAGGGTGAAGGAGAACTGCCTTAGCAATGAGAGAAGCTCAAGAGGCACAAACCAAGATGACAAACCAAAAATAGGGACAACAGGGCAGAGGCTTACAAAGCAAGACCAGCTAAAGCTCTGTCCTGTGGTACCGCATTAACTCAGCTCAAAGCAGGATTAAATCAAGTTGGGTCCCTTTTCCCCAGTCGGCTTTTACCAACACCTCCCAGGTACACACCTGGACAGAGTCAAGTTAGGGTTACAGAGACAGTCTTGTGTTAGTAGCGAACTATGGTTACACACACACATGCACCCTGTGTTAAACACAGTTTACTGTTGCACACTGAAGGTTATGGAAAATTAGAAACACACACAATTAACTTGGTACATGGAGTCGCAAAGCAAATCTGCAGAGCCCACATCTTCAGATAACTAGATGTACAAAAGACTAAAGCAGCACTCCCCATATTACACTGCTTTGCAGGAAGCATTTAATTCCAGCATATAAAGGTTATAGGAACACAGAAGATCCTAAGTTTTGTGGGATGCTAATGAAGCAATCCATTCTGGAGAGATCCAACACTTTCACTTCGACATGCACAATGCAAGTCCCATGAGTGCTCACAGAACATGCCAGAAGGAGCCAGGGCTGAGACTGTTTAAGCCACTTAGAGGACCTGGACATCCATCTCCCTTCCATTGTAAATGGATATTAAGTTTCTAAATCCTTCAGGCATCCTCAGCCTCCCACAAGTAGGGATTAGTCACATAAAGGCTCCTTCCTCCCTGGTCCTTTTGCACATGTCTCAAAACAGGGCTGCCACAGGGCAAAACCATCACTCACTTGTCACCAGGCAGAAACAGGCCACCAAGCACACCGTCCTTCTCCTCGCTCCGACACACGTCAGAGGCCTCCGAGCTCTGGGCACTCTCAATAGCACTGTCCATGTCAGACTCATGGTGAACCTCTTGCTGTGCTAGAGTCATCGTGTCGTCATCAGGGAAGAGCTCTGACTCGCTGTAGGCACTTTCGCTGTCCAAGTAGGCACAGTCCTGGATTTCACCACCCTGGCAAAATAAGAATTGGGAGGCAATTCAGATCATCCTTCAAGGCAGTTAAGAGGATACAGGAAAAGCAAGAACCCCCTCTCTGGATGCCCTGGTAAGCATGAGCGACACTGAATAAAAGCCACAAAACAAAAAGCCTGACCTGCTTTACAAAGGCCAGTTCCTGGAAGCCCCTAGGATAATTTGCACCTTCCCCAAAGGCTCAAATACTGTCTCTGACTTGGTGTCTCTCATCTGTAGGAGAGAGGGACACAACATCCAGGTATAAGATGGATGCAGTCAGTTTTGCCCTAATTTACTATCAAAATGCTCTTGGAGTAATAAATATCCTCACAGGTTTTTTAATAATGAAAAGAAGCATCCTTTGTAAGAAGATAATCACAGGACCAACTCTCAGTGACTTCATGTATTATCAATTAAATAAAAGCAAGCCAGATAAGTCCAACAGTTTACTCCGTCTTTGAGGATGGGCAAAAATCTGTAAGGTGAAAAAAGTGCTGGCATGTGTCAAAACATTTACGGTAAGTCTTGGTGACAATCAAAGATATAAGAGAGCAGGGAAAAAACCCCAACAAAGCCATCTGTTCCTGCTTCCTGGAACCATGTCTTAAGTATCAATTAAAATAAGATGTCATTCTCATTACTGCAACACTGTGCTCTTGCTGTTTGTCCCCTCCCTCCCCTCCTTGCCCCATGAACACTCACAATAGCCAAGAGAAACTGTTTTCTATTTGCTTGTCCCCGAGGGACAAATAAAAATTAATTTAAAAAAATAAAGCCTAAGATTTTACTCTGTCCTTTGATACATAGCAACACAATACTGCTTTGACAATTCCCATCCAGCGTGACACAAATAAGTCATGAGTCCAGAGCAAGTTCTGCAAAAGCTCTGACTCAGAGCCCCCACTCCAAAGCTCACCTGCAAGCTCCACAGGCAGCTTTACATTGAACTATTGCCAGCAAGTTAAGACAATCATGCATTTAAGGCTTAGTTTACTGGCACAAGTAATGAAGCATTTCATTCATGGATATCACTCATATTTAGGCCCAACTGTCACCCACCCAGCTTCTTCCCCAGGAATCCCGAAGGCATTGGCAGCCTGGCACCACCACGACCACCAGCTGCCCTCTGGCCAGCATGCTCACCGGGATGCTGTGACAGCGGCACTGCTTGCAGCAGCACGGCTTCAAGTCATCCCCCATAGCCTCCGGATGCTCCTCTGCTAGAGTCAGAAAGGCTTAAATCCCCTTCCGCAGCACTAGTGCTGTTGTGTGCTGATGGCAGCACTTTTTCTCAGTGCCTTTTTCACCTCAACATTAAAAGTGTCAGCCAGAAGCAGCAGCTTTTTAAGATCTGCAGTAACTGCTACTAGAAATGCAGGTCTCATCTTCCATTTTTTTTCCTGAAATAGCGATTTATATGACTGTGAAGACTCCTATCATATGGAGATTTAAGAAACTCAAAACAACCCCACCTGCTCAAATGTAGTTAATTAACAAACACCCAAGCAGTCAAAAGGACAGCTTTACCTGCAGTGTTTGAATCTCTAGGTACATGCTGAGCAGGTATCTGGACACTTTTCTAGCTGAGCTTTCAACAGGTCTTCCAGACACACAAGCAGTATCAGTAAGACACTTCAGCACCACTGTACAATAATAAGCACATGTGTATATGCCTTCTTCCACTTTTGTGTGTCAGCCTTATTAAGCCTGAAACTTTCCCTAGGTACCACCCCAAGAGATGTCCAAAAGGATTTATTCTTGGTCTGTGCCATGTAGTATTTTATTGAAGCCATGCTGCCTCATGCAATCAAATTTCTAGCTCTGAGCCACAGCACCTTCAGCACGGTCACGATCCCTCAGCCGCACGGAACTGGTGGTCTGCCAGGTCAGGCACCAGCTGCGGAGTCTGCCCTGACCCTACTATAGTTCCAAGTTCTTCAGCACATCTTCTGACCTGCACCTTGCACCCTCAGAAGCAAGCAGGGATAATGACACTGATATTCTTTGCAAAGTACCTCAGGATCTACAAATAGACAGCACAAGCAATACGATTTTTTTAGTAGGTGTTCAAAAAGTAAAGACTGTTAAGAGCAGTTAAGATGTTTCAGAAGTATCCAGGAATGTCTGTTTAACTAACATTTCCCCAAAGTTTCCTCCTGCATGCTAAGCCCCACAGGCACAGAGCTCCTGTTTCTCTTGAAAAGTTTAATGCAATGAAGCCCTGACTGCCGTTATGGAATCGCACCAGCTGGTAAAAGTCTAATCCAGGAGGGATCCACACAGTGGATCCCTGAAGTAGGAGTTTGCAAATCCAGGGAGGAAAGGAAGAAACAGCTCTTGCACAGCCCTACCTCCCAATTAGCATGTCTTTTTCAGAGGTCTTGGAGAAGTCTCTGCTTAAGCAAGCTTTTACAGCAGGAAAGTCTCACTGGTATTAAACAAATTAACACAAGAAAGTAAAGGTCAAGAAGAGCATGAAAGACTCCATTTTTGTTCCCTGTAGGTAACACCACACATTTGCTTTTTCTAATAATAGCAGTCTAGATGCTCTTTAAAAGAAGTCCTTTAGCAATTAAACGTGCAGTGTCATCTATAAAGGGTAAGGGCTCACTTTTCTTTCCTGTCACACTCTGGCAACGTAACCTTCACATATATACTCATATTAGAGTACTGATCTACAGCTACAGCACAGCCTGGACTGTACCCATGCTGGTCAGTACCATGTATTCTTTTTCCAAGTGTAATTGCTCTGCTCCTAAACTTTCACTTCTAAGCCCCATGGGAAAAAAAAAAAAATCAGCTTTTGGAGCCAATGACCCATCACAAGCCTGAACACCTGCTTTACAGCTTCTGAAATACCTCACTGCAAGACTTGGAACCCCTCCTAGAAGCTGGTCCTCTCTTCTGCTGATCCCATCCTTGAGCTGTGGGGAGCTCAGGGACTGTGTAAACGAAGAACACGGGCCAGCCAAGCTCCTTTGAGGAGCTCCCCCTCAGCTGCCCTCCACTGCTTCCTCACAGCACATCCCGGGCAGCCAGCCCCTCTCAAATCTGGCACCTACCCCACAGATCCACACAAACAAAGTGGATGTTTAGGAAGCACACACGTCTTGGCTGCTCTTCTGAGTACCTGGCAGCCAAATCACACGCTGAAGACCCCAGTCTTTTCAAAGCACGCAGCATGACAATCCTGCCAGGGAGGCTCAGCTCTGGCAGCTGCATCTGCTGCTTACTCATGCTTTTAAGTGCTCAAGGTCCACCTACAATCAGTGCTGAAGATCACTGTTTCAGCAAGATGTACAGAAACTAGGGCCAGTGACAGCCACCATGCTGAAGCCTGCATGACTGTTTTCTGTGGGTAGGAACTACATGCTTAGCTATTAAGCTTTAAGAGCACAGGGGTGGGGAATCACTACATCCCTAATAACACGGTGTTTCCAGGCACGAGAATACCTCTGACACGTAGCACAGAAATTCTGTAACGCATGGGCTTGGGTAACACCACCGAGGTGTCTCCAGCTCCCTTGGTGAAACCAGCCTTCAGTGCAACTGTCACAATTACACATTTAACAAAAAGTTTTCCTTCTGTGGCCTAAATAACCAGGAGATGAAAACAGACAAAGCACCTTTAAAACCACTAATACAGGTTAAGAAAGCTTCTACAAGAAGTCAGAACTGGGGCACGTTGTTAGTAAACAATATACAGGTATCCACGCCTTACTGACTAAAGCTATATTTGAAGCTGTAATTGTTCAGTGATCACAGTTTCTCACAGGACCATACTTTCAATGGTGCCATCTAGCACAAGCTGCTTACAGACCACACCTATGGAAATTAAATTTAAAAAAAAAAAAAAAAAGAAAAGAAAAGAAAAAGGCTGATTGCACAGCTTAACCTCTCAAATTACGCCTTCATAGTTTAAGTATCTACAGTACTTCATGTACCAAATTAGATGTTGGCAAGAACAAGTGTTATTCAGGTAGCCTTAAAAAAAGCTAACTTGAGTTTAAGCAGTATGTTAAGGATTAGGAGACACTTCTATCCTGAGTCATTTGTTTCCAGTGCACATGCCATTAGCTGAAACCAGTAAGAGAATGAGGTTCTGACGACCTGAATATGAATCATTGTGTTTCTCATTCTGCTAGGCAGCTCCCTTCTTTGTTGGCTGAGTCAAAAGAGATGAAGTTGCTGCTTATGATCTTGGAAGATTCATGTTAAAAAAAAAAAAAAAAAAGAACATTAAAATACCACCAAGACAACATAGCTGCGGGTAGCTTTAAAGCAGTAAGTACTTTGCACTTTATCTAATCGGACGCTCAAGATAACTCCAAGTGCTTCACAGGCAGTTAGCCAAATGCTTGTATAGCAACTGCTGAATATTCAGCAACAGTTTGCTCTATAGAAGCACCTGCTGCCCAAAGATCCAAGGCCACTTCACAGAAACTAATGAATTCCCTTCCTCGAAAGAGGCAATTGTATGGCTGCATTGAAGCCAGATGAGTAAGCACAGCCTGCCTTTGCACAGCCACCCCAAACAGACGCAGGAGCCAGAAGACAGAGATTCCCATGGATTCCTTCTGATCCTTGTGGGGCAGGAAAGTGGTATCAGCATTAGGTGGGTATGGGAATACAGCTCTGCCTTGCCCTGCAGTGACCTGGCTGGGCTTTCCCAGGTTGGAAGCAATCCCTAAAATATGCACATAGAGCAGCCAAAAGCTAGTAAACTTAGCTGACAGGCTACATGACATGCCTACGTCAATAAATTGATGCTGAAGAGCAAGCCTAGTTAAAATTCACTCCCATCACAGCCAAATCACCAGCACCCCTGACATTCAGACAGCCTCCCAGTATTCCAGAGGAGACAGGGAAGAAAAGAGGATCCAAGTCTCTCACCACTGGGTAATCTGATTAGCAAGAGCCGGAACCATCACACATGACCAGAAACAAGAAATGCCGCATGCACATCAGGCATGGCACTTCCCTCACCACAGTTGTGCCTCCAACCTGCACCTGCCCAACATCTGCCAGCTGTGGGCAGATGCAAGTTCGAGTTCCTGCACCCTCCCCATCCAGCTTCTTCCCAGCAAAAGTGCAGGAAAGTCACCTCACCACATCTGGAAGAGAAGCAGTGCCACGTGGAGGTGTGCCAGGCTGGGCGGTCTCAGATGAAATGTTACTTACTGTTGCACATCCATCATAGAGAAAATTCAGGCTCTCTCATCTTTATTTAAGCAGACACTGCATGGGAAGGCAAGTATTCTCTTAATTACAGGGCAACAAAGAAGGGTGTGAAGCATTTCTCACCAATATGTTTTAGAAACATGCCACTCCTCTACAAATGTTTGCATATTTACACCAAGTGGGCTATGAACTTTTTTTAAAGCACAGATTCTCCCCCAGCATATTTCCTTTCCTTTTCAGTTGTCAGGCAGCAGTGGGGAGATGCTGACTTGATCTGACTAGAAACAGGAAAAACTACGTAAGAGGAAAATGCAGAAGCACTAAGTGAGACCACACTTCTGCAGCTGAGCGAGTGACTGCCGGCCCTTGCCCACGCAGCTGCGGCCGAGCACAAGGCAGAGCACGGGCTGCCACGCGCAGAGAGGTGGCTTGCAGGTTGGTTGATGATGAGGGAGGAAGTCCTAGAACTTGCTTCCATCTCCTGCCGCAGCATGGAAGAACACCAAGCTTCCCCACAGAGCTGGGAGTTTTAAATCTCTCAGAGTTCAAGACGAGTGTGCAGAGCATGGTTACTTCACTAAGTTGCTCAAATAAGAAGCTATTTTAGGGCCACAAGTTAGTTTGTTCCATGCAAGAGCTTCCTCTGACTGTTTTGTTACTCAAATCTACTATTTGAAGCTCGGTTTAAGGCAAAGCTTCACATGTTGCTGCTGTGGGTATTGGAGGGGACTTCTAGGGGCAAGTTTATTTCTAAGATCCCTATCTGGGATTGAGTGCTGGACAGCATCCTGGAAAGCTGGTGCAGAGTCCCCAGACAGAGGGCAAGCTATGCCTGCGCTACAGGGCTCTGCCAGCCTCCCTTTACTTCCCAAGATAACATCTGTATCTCATACAGTCCTGCAATTTAGGGACAACAGGTTTTGACTGAAAGACCAAGCCTCCACTTCTGGGCTGTTCACGCTGAACCACACGAGCAGAGGGCACAGAGGTTTGAAAGGCTGCCTGGGGCTCTGGAGAGG